TAAGGGGCCGGATGTGACGGTTCGCCTATAGTACAATAGGTTTAATACCATAAGTACATAGAAAAGAAACAGGGGTTCCTATGGGTGACCGCTGCGAAAGCTGAGCTATTTAATATAAACAAACTTTAAAGTCAAGGTTCACAGTAGTATACAGAGAAGACGTTACCATATATGAAATATTGACACAGAAGGGAAACTCCTTTGATGTGTTTCCAGAGTGTAGTGGACGTCACAAGAAAATTAAATAAATTAAACAAAAATATATTATATTTTATATTAACCAAATTATAGTTTACCTTTTTCTCATCAGGTGTAAAAAGGATGCATATAACACAGTTTAATAAGGTTTATGAGAGCCTTTAAAGTTTTATAAATTCGATAATCAATTTAATAGAAAATACCAAAATACGTTAACATATAATTAAATTGAATTTAAAGAAAAGTTCAGTTCGAATAATAGGCTAAATCCGATTATTGAAATATCTACCCTTCGGTGACATAATCTATGACGTTACTAGGTGAGAAAAAAAAAGAAAAAAAGGGAGAGCCGGCAGATCGGCGGGCGCGCGGGAGTCGCTTTTTAGGAATTGCGCAATAAAAAAAAAAAAAAAAAAAAAAAAAACGGGAGTCGTGTTTTAAAAAAAAAAAAAAAAAAAAAAAAAAAGGACGGCAAATGGCGGGGAGTCGTGTTTTAGGGATTGCGCAATAAAATAAAAAAATAACTGGGATATAGATCTAGGAGGGACTGGATCGATGAAGGGGTTTGAGACCTTAGTGTATCACTATCGATTAAGTGTGTGAAATTAATCAATAGAAGACTGGAGAATCCGGTGAGCTTGTTCCATTTATTACTACGTAGTTAGATTTTTGACTGTGATCGCAGGCAAAGTCTATACTTAATATTTTTCCCAACAACTATTAAAATACGTATTTAGTCGAGTCCATATACCTTTAGGTAATGCGTATATCGTTAAATGCAATCACATTTGAACAAATTTTACATCAATATAATTTACGTACTTACGTTATTTTACTCATATACAAAATCCAATTATATGGTCGTTTGATAGAACTTCATCAATTTGATTCAATGTTCTAATTGTCCAGTTTTGGAAAATACTTATTGAATCAACTATTGAACTATTACAATACTAACTAGTTTCATATCTAGTTATTATAAAGTATTTATTTATTGAGGATAATAGACTAAAGTGACTATGGTCTGGTCTCATTGCTGGGGAAACAGCCATTGATGAGAGAGAGGGGTTATTGAGTGGCGACCCTGTAAATGCAAGTGCGGTGTGGGCTACCTCCATTGTTTGGAGTGACTGTTTTATGTGTATTGTGGGGCCGTTCCTTGTGTCAGTCGGTAGAAATTGCCTGTGTTCAGTCGTGGGTTGGTGATGGTTGAGACGATGATGATGATGAAATATTTGTATTTATTACACTACTACAGTGTTGGTTTAGAATATCTATTCATACTTAACGCTTCATGGTGAAGTGTTTTCATACCATTACTCGGTCGACCAGACTAATGATTCTTAGTCTATATTTGATTATCCATGACTACATGTGGGGATTTGTTTTACACCAGATGTACAAAGAGACAGCTTAACTGTTGTAAGTGATTTTATGTGGATGTAATACTTTTAATACATTATTGTGTTAGTAGATAAATTCATGTGACTGTGGGGTGTTTATGGTAAACAAGCCTGTATTGTGTAAATAGATAATTTGTCTTGATTTATTATAAACTTTAATATTGATTTTATTGTAGTGAGCAAGCTGACAATAACAACTCTTTGTATATTACTGCTTTTAATAATATTTAATTATATTGATATTATAGGTGTGGATTTATTTCCTAATGGTAATAAAAGTACTAAAAGATTCTCTGACTATAGTTACTCTTAACTAGGTATGAGGTTCAGTATAAAATTGGTACTGTATGACACTTGTGAAGCTATGTATTTTACTCATATTTAGAAAGGAAGTTGTCCTGGCGATAAGGTTTGTATGTGTGTTGTTTGTTCATGTTATATTGACTAGACAAGTTCAGACAGGGTTAATATTAGTGAATATTTACTGGATTTATATTTAATATACATGTTTTGAATATTTTATGGGAATAGTATGGAGATATACAAGTAGTAAAATATAATATTAGTATTTTATAAATTTCATTATCGAGTTAGTTGTATATGTTGGGCTGTATCCAAGGAGATATGAACCTATTAATATCAAGTTAGGACAATTACTTTAAATATTAATAAAGCAAACACTAACACTGATTATTCACTTCTTTAATAAATTTACATTAGAGGTTAGGAATCAAATAGATAGCATATTGGGAAAATCTTCACCACACATGTATTTGAGGAATGTTCTTGATAATTAGTACTGTATGTATATATTATTGCAAGTACAATTGCAATAAGAATGTTAAACTTCTAATCTTCTGTTCATTCTTGAATTTGAAAGTAAGCTTGGCTACTGATATGAATATAAAACTGCAGCATTACTGGATACTATTAATTATTTCTGGTGTAAACCATGATTATTTATGTCACTGATAATTTAGTTGTATATTACGGTGATATATGATGACTTTATATTTAATTATATTAAACAAATACAAATAAACAAACTTGCTAGTATTTGTTACGTTGACAGTTGTGATAGATAATCAAAATTCAATTCGATACATCAATACGTCATTCAATACGTCATTGAAGTGACAGACGTCAAACAAAAGGGAGGTGAATCACGTTATGATTCTATATCTAAGTCTATAGAAAAATTTATATAATTTAATTTTTTAATTTTCTATTATTTTATAATAACTGTAGGGGAAATATTAGAATTATTTATATAAGAAAACATACTTAAATGATATGATAATTATTTAAAGACCTAATTTCTTAGGGAATTAATCATGATGATTTAAAACTTGTTTATCTGAGAAATCCTCTTAATAAATAGGTTTTACTAAGACACTAAAAGGAAGTAGATATAGTATAACTATAGTACAGCTACAATAATTGTATGGGACTTACTGTCCTTTCTATACAAATATATATTTAATCTATATCTTTCACATTATAATTATGCAATATATTGCCTCTACTACTACAACATACACAAATAGGACTTATTGTCCTTCCTATATACCTATATATAATATTTGACCTGGCACTTTAATGTGTAATTTATCAGTATTCATGGCAACAACCAATTAGGACTTATAGTCCTCTCTATAAAGCTGCATAATTATTTAATCTGATTATTTCACAATGTGATTAATCAAACCTCTACAAATATTACAAAAGATCTCTATTACTCTCAACACAATAATAGCTTGTTGGACTTAGTGTCCTCAAACTTATAGAAAACCCAACTGGTTATTTCACGAGACGTTGTTAACTTGTGATTAATCAGTGTCTTTTAAAGGACTTATAGTTCCTTTAGATATATCTCTCTGAATAAATAATTGGTTAATTCACAATGTGGTTAATCAACAATAATATTATATATAATTGACTGGACTTATAGTTCATTCAATAGCACTCATTACTTTTAGTAGCTCTCGACCTATGGGTTGGACTACTCGTTCTTAGGCTCCGGCCTAATCAACAGATTTAACTTGAACCTTGAGTATTCTTGGTATTAAGTAAATAATATTAAATTGACAATGCTATGTTATGATATAGCAATTATCAACATTATATGGCTTGGCCAATTCCAGGGTGTGGAAGGTATCCCCTATCACACAAATCTTCATCTCTATCGGACTGTCTTCACAGGTGATCTCTAATGTCACATTATAGGGCCGAAGGGTTATGTCCCAACAAAGTAAGTTCTGGTGTCTGGGTGATCTCGCTTCTTGGTCTGATCTCTTGTGGAGCCGAAGGGAAAACCCCATTGAGTAAGCTCGTAACAGGGTGACGCTGGGAAACAGTTTCGTACTGTTAGTGGGTGATCTCTATGTCGCCATATAGGACTGAAAGGGTCATCGCCCATGAGTAAGCTCTCGTGTCGGAGTGATCCTGGGATTTCAGTTCCGATCTTTTTGCCTCTGGCAAACACCAATTTATACTGGAAGCATCGTGGGGCTGGTGGAGCCACTGTAATGTTGAAGTAAATGTACTTATGTTTGGTTTGGAACTGAGAATACTCATTCCCTTATTACCATCAGAGTGCATTAATAAATAGTAATACCCTTCCCTACCTTTTTGGAGGAAGAGTTATAGATAGTTGGAAAGTCTTCCACTGGTCCGGGCGTGTGAGGGGCCCGACCGCTCCCCCATTTTTTTTTATTATTACAGTTATACTGTAATTTACTATTAAAATAACATAACTTCCTAGTTACATGAATTATGAGTATAATTCATTAATTATTCTTAATCCTTAAAGCTTTATCAATTATCTTCATTATTTAACTCCTATCATATACCAATTAAAGAACCTTTTGGTTATTACACACACAACGGGTCCTACATTTCTAGACGATCACACATTTATTTATTTGGCCAAATGATCAAGTGTTCTATTATAAGATCTGTTCAATATTATGTATTTATTGTAAGGGTTTATATGATTCATAGGTTGTTTGGGGTGTATAAGACAATATAGGTATGGGGTTATATTGAGAGTGTTAGACCATTCTTTAGGGTAGATTTTCATTATATTTTCATAGATTTCATTAGGTAAAGCCTTCGTAGGCTTTTCTTAGGCTTTGTAGGTTTTCCATGTGTAGGTTAGTTTAGAGGGTAGTTATTATATAAGGGGTGACACATAGGGAAAGGGGGGGACCATTACAGTGTCAATCGATGACCTAATATCTCGAGCCAATAATCTCGGATCTAATGTTAGGATTTTATTATACGTACATAAGTCGCTTTCATTGATCGAGAGCGATTAATTAAACTGTCAACCATGCTACTACTGGGTTTCAGATAGGAAAATGAACTTTGTGACCTGGGAGACAGTGCATTGTTTACCTTAACGAGATTGGTGACGGCGACCGAGACGGCGTGCACAGGCCGCTCCAAATCTGGCATGGCGTTGCCATCTTCGGCCTCTTCATGTAATATCACCAGACGGGAAACCTGGAACACAGAGCACTCTCCTTATGCATTAAATCAAATTATTAATAATTTTAAATGACTAAAGATTTTATATTACTAAATTTTTTTAATAATCAATGACTTTAAATTACTAAAATTACTAACGGTATTAAATTATACAAACTAAACATAGGAACTAAAATTAGCAACAATTTTATATTACTAATGATACCAAAGTATTTAAAGAATAAAAATATTTCTATACACAACGATAAGTAAATGCATATTTTAATCCACAAATAAACTTCTATGATGAACAAATGTTAACACACAAACACACAAATATGAATGATATATTTTGTTTTTTTTTTTTATTTTTAATAGCTTTTACCTTCATCAGGTTTATAGAAACATATTTAAATGATCATATTTGAATTTAGAACGCGAATACGTGTAAACAATCGTGAGACTGCATGGCAACAGTTTTTTGTTCCGTAAAGGAAAACAGTAGTTTTAATTGTCTTCATTTTCTCAATAAAAAAGATGCGTATTTTTTTTTATACGACTTAGAATGGCAAACAAGCTGACGGCCCACCTAATGGAAAGTGATAACCGTCGCCTATAGACATGAGCAGTACCATGGACATAACAGAGTATACTGATTCGCCCATGATACCCCCCATGCGTTGTCATTCCTGAGGACACAGGTGTTATTCCTCTGTACCCTGTAAATTCACGCCATATCCCACTCTTCAAACCGAAACACAGCCATGCAAACACAACTGCTTCATGGTTGAAACACGAATGAGACAGAGGTACCCAAGCAAACGACTTTTCGCAAAGTCTCCCTCTGGTATTCAACCTCTATTTATTTCACTCGTCACTACATGTCGCATATATTATATCATAATTCAATAATTCTTACTGATATTATGTCGAAGTAAATTTATTTATTTGTTACCTTACAACGTCTAAACAGCTTAACCAATCACTATAAAAATTTGGTACTATATGAGATGGAGAAGAACATAGGCTACTTTTTTCCCGATCAGAAAACATGTCACAAATGACACGCAGACGAAGTCGCAGTTAAAAGCCAGTATTTAAATAAATGCTCAATTACTACAACCTGGTACATTGCAATTAATCCTAGTACCCAAAAAGTTAATTTATGTTTTGCGTCGATTTGAAGTAAATACGGTCCCGTATTTACACTATCCAATGGTGTCAAACTTTACTAAGAGATAGCCCAAATTAATATTTGTACTGTTACCACGGGAAGCTCTCATCCGTTCTTTGTTAGACTTTGCCGCAGATTTCACTTTAACTGTAACTTTCAAATATAAAACATAGTATTATTATTTATTTACTCTTTATTGCACCAATTAAAAAATAGCCTGCGCTGGGGGGAAAGGGATTGTTAGTGATGGAGACTAAGAATCCCATTGTTAGCAATATATCCAACCAGGTCGACCTCCTCGCGGTTCCCCCTGGAAACTATCATGGTTAATTCCTGATGAATTCATCATGATGGGCTAACTGACCTATTTTCATTCTCATCTATCACCCTTCATTGGTGCTCCGCCAGCGTATTCCGTTAGCGCAGGCGGGGTTACCATACCATTTACATCCAGCAGTAAAAAAAAAATAGCCTGCGCTATAGGTATGCGCTGGCAGAGCACTAGTGAGAAATAACAAATAAGAATGAAAGCCGGACAGTTAGCCCATCATGATGAATTCCGCAATTGACTAGGGTGGTTTCTAAAAAGAACCGCGTGGAAATCGACCTGACGGGATATATTGTCAAAAAAACATTAGTGTCGTGTCGTGTCGTATCAAGAGGTGAAGAGACTCGCTGAAAATTGTAGTGAGTGGCGAGAGCTTCACCGACAAGAACGCAACTCTTAAATAGGGAAGAATGAAACATAGAATTCTGAGCTACACTATTTTATAATTATACATTAGTAATACTCGTAATTAACGCATTATACATCTGTCACTTTCTTGCGAGCATCTTGCATCTCATGTTCATATTATTCATGTTTACACAGAAGTGACCCGACCCGAGCGACTAAATACCTTACAATATACATAATTACGTTATCTGAACACACTTACGTGTGTACGGAGTGATAAGCGATAATTTTTAACATGCACCCGTCATATTAATGCAGAAGACCTTTGTGTTTATAAAAGTAGATACGTAAAAGTATATTTGTACCTCGAAATAATGTGCTATGTTGCGTCACCCATGCGGTGAGTAGATTGATAGATACTCTTTACTATTACCCCCATAAAATTACAATAGTAAACGTATTATAAATATATACAATTTACTAGCGGGAGACTTTGTACAAAAGTCGTTTGCATGAGTACCTCTGTCCGATCCGAGTTTAACCGTGAAGCAGTTGTGTTTGCATGGCTGTGTTTCGGTTGAAACACGAATAGGACAGCGGTACCCAAGCAATCGACTTTTGTACAAAGTCTCCCTCTGGTAACCAACGATCGTTACCAGGTATACCGCGTAAAGTTCAACCCGACAGAGTGTGTTACTAGAAATAAAGTGGCTAGTCCCCGTACTAATAATACGCTCCCTCAACCAGTGAGATACAGATACAGCTGGTTCAAAATAACATGCTTTCAAAAACGCGACTTCCAAGCCAACATAATATAATAGTACGTACATATTCTCTTCTCCACCTATCGACTCCTTTACAGTTACAGGAAGCCAATGGAGGCAAATTGTGCGGGATACAAATACGAATCCGCGCCATTAAATGAAATATGAGGCAGACCTGAATTCAGCAGTGAATGATAGTACAGGCTTTGTGGAGGATGTGATCAGTCGGCGCCTAGAGACACTGCCCCAAGAAACTACAAGAGCAATGTAACGTTGCTACTACGGAGTAAACAGTGGGTCCCTGGCGACTTCTTTTTCGGGAGGCATCGTCTAAAAATTTTCCGAGGCCATTAGGTTCGCATACTTAGGCCAGTCCTACTAGACGACAGATAGGTTGTAATAATGACGATGACAATACTTCTTTGGGGGGAAAGGGATTGTTAGTAATGGAGACTGAGAATCCTATTGCTAGTAATATATCCAACCAGGTCGACCTCCTCGCGGTTCCCCCTGGAAACTATCATGGTTAATTCCTGATGAATTCATCATGATGGGCTAACTGGCCTGTTTTCATTCTCATCTATCACCCTTCACTGGTGCTCCGCCAGCGTATCCCGTTAGCGCAGGCGGGGTTACCATACCATTTTCAGCCATAAAAAAAAGTTCCTCTTGCGAAAGGAGACTGGTCTCCAGCAGTAGGACGAAAATAGATTTAAATTATTATTGCATCTGGCAATTATTATGTTGTCAAACATGAAATTTAGTACTTGCCCATATGTTAAAAGGCTAACGTGTCGCCAAACCTGTCTCGCAGCGTACGCGCCGGCGCCGGCCGACGACTGCGCACGCCATATTGGGTTGCGCACGCGCACCCGCGCCAATTAAGGCATCGTTCATTCATGGGTTTTTTGTCGGTGCGTAATCTATAGATATTGTACGAGAACTCACATAGCGTGCTTTGGGTCCAGATCGAGTATGCTGACATTAGCTCATATGTTCCACTAGCGCTAATAATCACCTTTGTGTATAACAATAAGCAGTTTTGATCAGAGAGCGTCACTCTCGCGCGAGTACTATTATTTATACTATGAGTGGTAGTAACAATGATATCTTATATGGGGGCAGAGATTGTAATGCGGACTACCAGTCCCATTGCTAGCAATATACACTGTCAGGCCGACCTCCACGTGGTCCCTTCTGAAAACCGTCGCGCTAAATTCCAGGTATATTCATTACAATGAACTTACTTATCTACCATTTCATTCTCACATATCATCCCTCAATGGGGCCCCGCCAGTGTATACCGTTAGCGCAGGCGGTGTTACCATTCTATTGTCATCCGTTAAAAAAACGAATTTAATAAAATTATAAGTACATGTGTGGTCCCGGTATAAAATTCACCCTTCCCTTTACCGTGGGAGTCGTAAGAGACAACTAAGAGAGCGTCCCCTCTTAAAATATCACGAAAGCCTAACTGCAGTTGCCAACCCATTTACCAAGCGTGGCAACTACTGGCATAACCTCCCTTATGGGGGAAGTCTATGTTCAGCAGTGAACAAATAACGGCTGATGATGATGACAAGTAAACTACATAGTCATACAAACAGTTATAAATAGAAGGTATTTAGGAAATATTGCTATCAGGACACTTAATGAGAGCAACAGAATCTCTGTTAATAAGAAATAATAAGAGATAAGAGTAGTTTTAGATTTTTTCTATATCTGTTTTTGTCTGCATATTTGTTCCGACATTCATAAAAACTACTGCACCAAATTGAGAACGTTTTCACATTTATTTTTCTGAAGGTCTAACTTAGTCTCATGTATGTTTTGTCGTGATTTGACTAACGTTGTATGTTACCTATTTCCCAAATCCACGTTGCAGGCAAAAGCTAGTTTAATATTAAAAAATTGTATTTTTGTATTTTTTTTTTTATTTGTATTAATAAATATTATTAGAACTTATAAAGTCGATACATACAAAAAGTCATACACTTAATATTCGCAGTTTCAGCCGAGAAGCATCAGGCAAATAACACGATTAGAGATCCCTTTATGGAATAAGTCCGCCATTGTATATAAAAAATTTTAATGTATTCAATATGATTTATGTACAATTACGTAATTATTTATATTGTATTTAATTTATGTAATTTATGATTAATTATGTAAGATTTTACAATACAATACGATTGTTATTCCAAAATTTACAAGATTCCAGTTATGAACGAGTACAAATTACTAATATAAAATTTTAAATATAAACATACAAAAATAGATCAGTCATAATTAACTCGAGCGGACTACTCGCTACGAGTGGCACCTGTTCACAAGTATGACGGACGAGCCTGCCATCATTGTGTTCAGCCATATTTTAAATAATAATATATAATAATAATAATAATAATCATTTATTTACAAA